GTATAATTATACATTATGTGAAACATATCTATATCTCTATAAAATATATATAGAATATAAAATTGTGTACTAAAATAATGCCCTTCAGTTTTTTGGTGGAGTTGCAAACAAAGATACATTACTTTAAGGGCACATCCAGATGATTAGCCTTTCCGTTCCCCAGCTCCCTTCACTCCACAATTAAAAGTCAGCTAAGATTGTATGGATTGCGCAGACTATTTCTGCATATCAGAAAACAGGCATGTTCACTTGTTTAAGGGTCTACAGTACTCACACAGAATTGAGAGTCAATAGGAAGGTATCTTCCCTAGCCATGAGCACAGAGTTGTCTCAGCCAATCAGCAATTGCCTCCTTGTCCACAAGTCATATAATTTATTTATTATTAAATGTGTATCATGCCCCATTCTCAACAACTCTGGATGGAGTGCCTCATTCTGTACCCTCAGTTTTCTGTTGAAAAAAATGCATGCTTTCCCCCTCTGTAAAAAGAAAACAAGCATTTTTTTTTTTGGTGCTATGTTTGGGTTCCTTTACTCTATCCTGATGTTCAATCACCATACCAGGATACGAGGAACTGAGAGGCATGTTGACTCAGGCTTCTTCTCCAATGACCACATGCAGCAAAAGATGCCAATATGTTGCCTTTGCAGCAACAGTCACTATTTGCAAACAGTTCCCTGCTTGATTTAAAAAAAAAAACCTTGGGAATGCAGTAGGAGGAAGCCAGGAGCTGACGCACTTAATAAGCAGCCGACAACAGAATCATATGTTTGCTAAGAGCAGTGGATCAGCTCTCTCTGTGATCAGATCTACAGCTCCATCTGGAAGCCTTTAGTGTAACCTGATGCTGCTGCCAATTTGTCCTGAAGTTCCCCTCCTTAAATCAGTAGTTTCCAGTTTACTGAGGAAAGTACTGATGCAGCTGAATCTGCAACTAACACTGCTGTTGCCAAAAGATCATCAAGCAGGGGACTTGCAAACACTTAGAAAGGAAAAATGTGATTCCTAGAAGACAGCAAGGGTTCGTTAAAAATAGGTCAAGCCAGACTAAGCTTATTGCTTTTTTAGACAAAATGACTAGATTAGGAGGTCAAAAGAATGCTGTGGATGTAGTGTACCTATATTTCATAAGACAATTTGAGCACAGCTGCCTCCTTGACATAATGGAACAATGTGGGATGGATTGTCCTACTAACAGATGGATTTACACTTGGTTGAACACCGTATCAAATGTGTGATCACTAATGCACCTACTGTATGACTACATGGACAGCAGTGGAGCATCTCGGAGTTCTGTCCTGGGCTCAGTGCTCATCAACATTTTTATAAATGATTTAGATGAGGGCATAGAAATGATGCTTAGCAAATCTGCAAATGACACAAAGCTGGCTCAAGTGCAAAAGGGTTTTGATAGATTTGAACATTGGGCCTTTTCCAAAAAATGGAATTCAGTGGCAAGAAGTGTAGGGTTCTGCACTTCGGTAGGAAAAATTAGATGTACACATACTAGATAGGTAGTATCTGGCTTAGTGGTAGTGCTTGTGAGAAGAATCTGGGTATCCTGGTAGACTACAGATTATGCATGTGCTGTCAAAAGTGCCCGGCTACTTGCATACCCTCGAACACCCTCTCCACCCAGCAGCAGGCAGCCCAAGTCCTGCTACACTCACACAATCCCTCCCCAGCTACCCATGTACCCCCTCACTCCCTTTCCCACCTGGCAGCAGCCACTTACTTACCTGCCAGGCTACTTGAGAGCCACTTGAGACTTGCAGCCTCCTTCTGGCTTCCCACTGACTGTGGTTCTTGGAAGCCAGGAGGAAGTTGCAAGAAGATCCTCA